TGATAAATGGTGTTTGGAAAACTGGATAGACACATGACAAAAGAAAAAGAAACTGGACCACGATTGATACCATATACAGATATAAATTAAAAATGGATTAAAGACTTGAATGTAATACTCAAAGCCAAAAAACTTTCCAAGAAAACATAGACAGTAAGCTCTTTGACATTGGTCTCAGCAATAATTTTTTTGGACCAGTTTTCTCAGACAAGGGGAATAAAAGCAAAAATAAACAAATAGGAGTATATCAAACTAAAAAGCTTTTGCATAGTGAAAGAAACCATCAACAAAACAGAAAGGCAAACTATTTAATAGGAGAACATATTTGTAAATCATACATCTGATAATGGGTTAATATAAAAATTATATAAAGAACTTACACAAGTTAATATCAAAAAAATGAAATAACCTGATTGAAAATTGGCAGAGGAATTGAAAAGATGTTTTTCCAAAGAAAATATACAGGACCAGGCACATGAAAAGATGCTCAACATCACTAATCATCAGGGAATTGCAAGTCAAAACTGCAAAGAGATATCGCTCACTTGTCAGACTGGCTATTATTAAAAAGACAAAAAATAAGACAAGGATCTGGAGAAAAAGGAACTGTTATACGCTGTTGGTGGGAATGTAAACTGGTGCAGCCATTATGAAAAACAGCATGAAGTTTCCTCAAAAATTTAAAAAAGGAATTACCATATAATCCAGCAATTCCACTTTTGGGTATTTATCTGAAGAAAATGAAAACAATTCAAAAAGAGATATACTTGGCCATAAATAAGAAGGAAATCTTGCCATTTGTGACAACATGAATGGACCTAGAGGGCACTGTGCTAAGTGAAATAAGTCAAAGACTGAAAGACAAATATCGAATCACTTCATTTTATAGATAGAATCTATAACACAAATAAAACAGAAATAGACACATAGATTCATAAATAAACTGTTGGCTTATTTCTTCTACAAAAAAAGTCTTGCAAGAATATTAATTAGTGTGTATTGTTAATACATATAATAGTGAAACTTCCAATCCATGAACATGTTATATTATACTTCCATTACTTTCTTTGATTTTCTTACATTTTGGAATTTTCAATATAAAGATTCTGTTAACTTTTAAGCATGTTTCCATTGCATATAGCTTTCACCAAATAATTAGCCCTTCATGAAATGAATTTTGTGTTGTTAAAAAAAAAAAGTCTATGACTTAGGTTTAAGAATTAGTATAGCTTCAGCTTTGCTCCCAAATTCCAAGCAGGTCATAAACAGTTGTCCTCGTTACTGGCTAAAAATGCTGGGGATTTTTAGGATCTTGGTTTGGAGGTGATGAAGAATGAATAAGAGCAGATAAGAGTATGGAGCAACTAGCACAGTTTTTAATGAGGAGTGAAAAGGAAACAGAAAGACTCGCTCTAAGTGGGATGGGCGCTAAGGGAGGAAGACGTTTGAGCTGCAGTGCCTCGGATTTATAAACCCAAAACCTGGAGTCAATCCCGCAAGTGGCTGGGAGTTGTTGCTGGGGCTTGTTGCTATGGCTGAGATGAGATTGGAAACTCTCTCGTTTTCAGGCTGAATTTTTTCAGATGTCTAGGATGAGGCTTCTTGTTTACTGTGAGCTTGATGGACTTTAGATAAGAGTAGATAAATTTGATTATAAGACTAAGTAAGCATGGTTTGAATAGTAGGGCTAGGAATAGCCTTAGTAGGGGTTTAGTAAAAGGGAATAGCTAAGATGCTTAGCTTTAAAAGTGGGACTAAACATTTTATGATTTCCCAAATTTCAGGCCAGTCATAAACAGTTGACCTCAAGTCCTCAACTATAAACTATATCAAATCTGAAATCTTGTCCAGCTCTATGTTTTTAAATCTGTAAATTTGGAAAGTTTATATGAAGCTAGGAAGGTGTGTAGTTGTTGTTTTATGAAATATAGAAATATTGATATTATGTTTTATTAAATAAAGGAGGAATATATCTTGTACACATCATTCAAGGTCATTCACGTTGCCTTATTCATGTCTGAAAAAGGCAG